TAGGCTACAATCTGACACCCCCTTTACCTGATAACCTGCCCCGTGCAACTTCCAACTAGAAAGACGTGAGATTTTTTAAATTAACATCTGCATGTTGGGTAAGTGGCAATAAAAGCTCAGAATTCCACTAATTTCTAATTCATGGTCTGTTCAAACAACTCCTTCACAATGGCAATACTGTCCCCTCCTCCTTTTAAGAACCTACCTATTGCTAAGGTTAGCATCAAGGAGCAGCCAATAGTCAGCAATATGGATGGGAAACAAAGCGTCAGTGTGTTCATTCTCAATCTGAAAATACTAAAAGAAAAAATTAAAAGAACCAATATTCACTTCAAATCTACACAGACGGCAAGGAATCAAAAGCCTTCTCCACCAGATTACAAAGAAAGGCAACCCAACGAAGAGTTTGATTTTTAGGCAGGTTACTAGGGTGAACATACAGGCAGAAGAATAGCCAGCGAACCCCATGGCACAGCAGTTAAACTGCTCTCCTGCAATCACGTCTCTGCTCATGGCCCATGTTCGATCCCGAAGGGTTCACATAGCCTGCTCAAGGTTGACTCAGCCTTCCAGCCTTCCAAGACTGGTAAATGAGTACCCAGTTTACTTGGGGGCAAAGTGTCCCTTTAACAATGATGTTGTAAACTACCCAGAGCTACTGGGTAGCTCAGTGGTTTAAGTAGAGGTTGAGAGTTCAGTTCCCCACTGTGCCTCCTTGACAGGGGCTGGATTTGATAATCCATAGGGTCCCTTCCAGTTCTGCAGTTCTAAGATGGTGGTGGTGGTGATGATGATAAAACAACAACCATTGAGTCTTAACACTCCAGGAGAGTGTGTGCTATATATTTCAAAAGGGAAACTGGCACATCTAAAAGCAGAAATTCCTAGATTTGATCAGCACCCAACACAACGCCCAGGAAAGCTATCATTGATGGCCAGAGCTTTTTATAGTCATTATGTTTATATTCATGTGTAACCAAATGAACGCAAGATGGCCATCTTCCTCTCTATGAAGCAAGAAAAAGAGTTAATGAAGAAGAGTTACTGAGTTAGAGTGACTTCTTCCAGTTACCTCGTGAGTTTTGTGGCTCAGTGAGGACTTCAACCTGGGTATCCCAAGTTTCGGTCCACACAGATGGCTACACCACGCAAGTTCTCCTGTTTCACATAAAAGGTGTCATAGAACAATTGAAAGTACATGGACCTATAGATACTGGGAGCCCCAATCAAATGATGTGGGTCCATGTAGACAAATGTCCTTCACCCATTCAAAATCAGACAGCATCTACTCTAAGCGGCTAAAATGGAATTATTCCTGATAATTTATCCATTATCAGGAATAACAGACCAAAGTCTTCAAAAGAAAGCTTGTCCACCCCTACTTATCTCATCTCCCACCGCAGGGGGCATCCAGAAGAATCTGCAGCAAGTTTTTTCATCTCCACAAGACAGCAGAAAAACCCAAGAAGTCCAACTAACAACCTTCCTAAAGAAAGCATGCTCCTGAGAATGCACAATTGTTTCTCGAGCAACATCTAAGGTTCTAAGGCAGACCATTTGATCCAAGTATCATTGCTGTTTCTTAAACTCATTCTTCGGATCTCTCTCCTGTTCCCTCTCTTTAGCTCTGTAGCATCTTTGTCACATGCCACAGGCACACAGATACAAACACATATGCAAACACTCACATGCACATATTCAGTCAAAATTCAAATTGCCTTTATAGTATACCATGGAAACATACACCGTTCAATATTTCAATTATCAACTCAAGCCATGACCTCTGCAAATCTTCTTTGGCCAAAAGGATTCCCTGGCACTTTTGCGTCTTTGCAAAAATAATCAGACAAGGTACCTTCAGTTAACAGAGTCGGAATTCAAAGAGCAAGATGGAAACGAGTCAACCAACCCTCATTGCTGACAGCATAGTAAGCCGTTTTCTTCAGCACTTCCCACCACTACCAGGATTGTAGCTGGCAGTGGTTCACAAGTTTCACAAAGTGGAAACACATTGTGTTCTGTTCTTCCAAACAAAATGCATCTCATAGCTGTTCATGTTCCCTAAGAAACCAAGATATAGTTACTGAGCAAGTTAAACATTATTCTACAAACAAACAAACAAAAAAAGGTGGGGGCAGAACCTGAGCAAAACCTTTAGAAAGATCCATGGATCATTACCAATAACCAGACTGAACATAGCACCACTACTACTCATCTGTATTGTACCCATGTGTGGGTTCAGCCACTTACTCCACAGCTAATAACAGGAAATAATATATTTAGAATTTTAGATTAGGCATCCTTCAGTCTCGAGACTATGGTAACATGCTCTGTATGGAGGACTTGGAATAGCGTCTAGTGTGGCTGAAAAGAGTGACAATCCCTTCCACACTGAAGACAAATACAATCTGTCCCCCTGTCCAGATCCCTGATTTTGCTGGTTTTGGGACTGCCTCTTTGCCTCGGCCTGCAGGACAAGGGTCTCTTCAAATTGGGAGAGGCCATGA